AGTATCTACACTTGACATTTCATAATTATAAAAAATGTGTAACATAAAATGAAAACATAAACAAAAATAATATCCTTTAGCATCTGATTATTGAAAATTTACAAGTTCATTGTTGAAATTTCAGAAAATGCACAAAAGTGATGATAACAAAAAATAAGAAAGGTGCTAATATCTCACTGCTCATTTTCTTTGAGCCAATCATGTGATACACATTATATTGCTTAATCACAGCAACAATCATATTAACAAAGATATTTTATCATAATTTTACAATAATTTTTATAAATGATATACACAGAGTACATAGCTCATAGACAGAAGCCAGAGATTAAACCCCGATCTAACTACAATACCTAACCTCTTATTCACAGCCCAAGAAAGAAAATTAAAATCACCTGCAATCCAATCAACTAGACATAAGTTCTCCTTAGTATCACCTCACCAATTGTACTCTGACACCCCAACAATCCCAATTTTCTCCTTTTTAGGCACCAATGTTATAATTCGGTGTACTCTTTTAGGTATTTTTAACTATGAATGTATATTCTTGTATCTACATAAACACATCATTTGTAAAACCACAGAAATGTTATGCTATGCATAGTGTTATGTGACAAGAACCTGAAGCACAGATAAAGCACACATGTTCCACATAATAAGAACAGTGAAGGAAAAATCAGAAGTGAAACATCACAACATACAATTAAAATGACCCTAATCTTTTAAATAGTTTCCTGATTACTTAGAGAACACTTTCAGATTCTGTGCTATACCTCAGGATTATACCTGCAGTAATAACAGACCTAACTAACTTATATTAGCATTTACTACAAGCCAACCAGTCTGTTTTATATGTATTAATCTGATTTAAAATTGTTATCTCCATTTTTTTGCAGCTGAGAAAACTGAGGTTTAAAAGGTTAAGTGACTTGGTTAAAATCACAAGCCTAATTATTAGTATGATAAGCAAAAAATTTACAAAGAACAGTATGAATCTATCCTATTTGGAGAATTGTATTGAAATAACTGACCTCACTCGGTTACCCTTTTCATAAAAGTAGACTACAGCCCTATCTCATACATAAAACTGTGTTTCTTAGCTTTTAATCTGAAAGTAGTAAGGGATACTCATTGAATTTACAGTAACAGATTAGAGGGCAATATATTTCTGGACTACACTGTGCACACTTCAATAGTTCAGCAATAAATCCTATTATGATCCTAGATAAATCATTTACATTCTCCAGTTCTTAGCTTGCCTATTGTCAATTATGTAACACAATTCCCTAAATATCTCCTATTCTGTAGTTCAGTTATATTAATACTATCAATCATCTTTATGATCGCAGTTGCAGAAGCAAAGCACATTTTCTATCCATGTATTTCTCACATTTTTTGCATAAAACAAATTTGATTTTGAAGAACAGTAAAACTTAGACATTATAAAACCTAATTCTATGTAGACATTCAATTTATTAGATAAATATTTTGGATCAAGAGCTACTACCTATCCCAAAGTAGCTTTTCCTAGACTTTGCAGACCAAACATCAATGACTTGGGCTGGTTTGATCCACAAACTCCTTTCACAACAAAGAAAAGTTAGACATGAGTACACAGATGGCAGGTACAGATGGAGAAACTAGGAAAAAATATGTATGCCTTAGACATAGAGGTTTTATTCTTTTAACCTAAAATATAGGGATCTAAATGTTTAAGCTTATATAATACAGAAACAACATTGCCAATTACTGCCCAGAAGTCAACAGTAGTAAAAGGAATTTCCAAAGACTTTCAGCTTTTTTTCACTATACCTTTTTTTAAACTGTCTACAATAGCCCCTTAACCCAGCTGGTTTTCAAAGTATGGAACCTCAACCATCAGTTTAGACATCATATAGGAATTTGTCAGAAATGCAAATTTTTTACCTACCTCAGACCTACTCAGAAATTCTGGGAGACGGACTCAGCAATCTGCATTTGGATAAGTTGCCTCACAGCAGTTCTGAAGTATGTTAGAATCTGAGAACCATTATTCTAACCTTTAGCTTATTATGATTGCTGTCTCTGTGAAATGTAGTTCCCTAAATTTGTAGGTGATAATGAATAAAGCAGGTAGACAAGGGGCTGGGGATTTAGCTCAGCGGCAAAAGCGCCTGCCTGGCAAGTGCAAGGTCGTGAGTTCGGTTCCCGGTACTGGAGAAAAAACAAAACAAAAAAAAGCAGGTAGATAAGATACCAGGGTACTAGCCTTAACTGCATCATTATTTATGAATGCACAATAAAATGCTTGTTGTTCTGCTGGTATTGTGTATCTTATGTAAAAAGTTCAAAAAGTGTAGATTGATATTGTTTTATTTCTATTTTCTGGTGGTCCAATAATTGAATCTATGAAATAAACCAACAGTAGACAGGTCAATAGGCATACAAATTCATTATATGCACAACAGCATTACAGGAGAGAAAAGTGAGTCCCTAAATATCCAAAAAGATCCAGAGGAGAGTGGAGAGAAGATGAAGGCAATTTGGGGGCGAATAAATGAGTTTTGGGAAACATGAACAGGTCCTCAGAAGAAGAGGTGACAGCTTATGACATAGTCTGAGTATAGTGTCAACCTTTGATCTCTTTTCCTGTGATCTAGTTAGCTAGCACTCCCTCATTAAAGAGATTTCCCCAGGAGAGAACTCATGACAACTGAGTTCCTCTTTCTGGAGAACCTATCTTCAGGGACATGAGGGGATTTGAGAGAAAGCTCCTCCCCTTTTCTATCTGCCTGCTTATGGGAGAAAGAAGAGGGAAAGTGGAGAGCAGAAGGTCATAGAGATCTTGGTTCTGAAGATGCTTCTGGAGTCTTCCAATCTTCAGTTCAAAGTACTCAGCATACAAAAACACCACAGGTATTTTGATGTATCCATTCTGAGTCCCAACAATTTGTTTCATAAGTGAACTCTTTCATTCACTTGTTATTTTTTGATAGATACTATGTAGCACTATCACATTACTATTATTCTCTCAGTAGAAGCTTACTTTTACAAAGTCTAATAACTTTATCATAAAAGATCAAATTACTATGAAGTTTCTATGCTTTAAATCTGTTTCAGCCAAGAAAACGGAAGACTACACACCATGGCAATTAATATTTTGGCAGAGTATTTTAGTTTCTTCCTGGTTTGCAAAAAACTGAGGTTCAGTTTGATTCAATTCTAAATCACCAAGGAATTCATGCTTGTGTAAAGTATGCATCGATAACTATTTTGGTAAGATTGTGCATAGTGATTGAGGACAGACATTCTAACAAACAGCAGTGACTTTGCTTTCAAGACAATAACAATAGATAAATTGGATTAAAGATGTCCACTTGGGACATGAAGAAGCAGAAGAATAGGCTTTTCCTGACAGCCATTCTAACACATAAATTTGGAAAAGATAAGACCTCCAAGGGCAGGAAAATACAGGACAGTGTAAAGGGCTCACTGCCTACATGTACAAGGCCCTGAGCTTGATCGCCAGCACACAAGAGGAAAAAAAGAAGGAAAGAAAGGAAAAAAAGGCCTTTGGAAAAAGGTACAGGAATCAGCACCTTTGTATATTTTACTTATAACACTAAAATGTGCATGAAGAAATGCAAAGCACAATATTCCATTGCTTAAGAAGTATGACCACACCTCAAAACATGAAAAAAACTGGTCTATGCGCTGTGGTGGGAAACAGAAAAGTTGGTTATTAAAACATAAAATCGTTACTGACTTAAGAAAGAACAGTCATCTAAAACAGTGGCTGAAGTACAAGGTTCCAGGTTCTGAAAGTAAAATCTCCAAGGTCTTTCAATATTCAAAACTGATTAACAAAATCAAATGTCATAAAGTTCGGTCCAGCTCTGCCCTGCCCTGCCTTCCTCCTCCCTCCCACCCGCCCTTCCTCCCTCTCTCTCTCTCTCTCTCTCTGAGGCAGGGTCTCACTACGTAGTTCAGGCTGGCCTTGCCCTCACTCACTATGTAACCCAGGCTGGCCTCGAACTCATGGTGCTCTTCTTGCCTCATTACAGATGTGTGCTACCACCCCTGGCCCACAAGTTTTTGGCCATTATTTTGTTTGTTTCAACTTGTCCTATCTGACTTCATGGATACATTATCCTGACAGTTCATATCAGAACTACTGGTACTTTTCCTAGAACTAGGAATCATTTTATTCTACAGACCCCTATGTTGTAAGTATGAAGTGGTTCCATTCATGATGATTTAACACCAATTTTGATGAGCAGAAGTTAAAAAAAGAAGATGAAACCAAGTCTTCTAAGGTCTTCTACTAATGTTTTGACTTGTATACTCAACCAGAGTTGTGAACATTTCTGACAGTTCTATTGTGTAAAGGTGTAAAGGTGTTGCCAAGCAACATACCTAAGTCTGAAAGAATCTAAGCATTGATAGTAAGTCTCTCTCAGTTTGACTCCCATACACCACGGGTTTCAGTGAAGACCCATGTATGTTTACAGGACAGTCACAAGAAGTATTTCTAAAGCTGCACGTCCAAAAGAAGCCCAACTCAGGAATCTATTTTTTTCTAATTCAAGTTTAATGTTTGTTTCCAATATCATGTGCATCTGTAACTACTCTGAATTCCAACAGGAATTGGGTATATTAGATCATATGCAAATGATCTGGCACTAAATGAACATTCCTATCCATATATTCAACATTCTTGTGTCTACATAGCTACAACAAAATTTCTTCCATTACTGCAAATTAAAAAAAACCTGAAGACTGTCTGCCAAAATTATTTCAATTATATTGAAAATTATCTTTGAAATTATTTTCAATATTTTCATTACTATATCAATAGTCAAAACAGAATGTTCAGTAAAAACTATGTATTTTACAGGAGAATCAGTTGCAAAAGAGGAAACATGTTTTTATAAGCTGTATACATGTAAAACACTGCTCTGCTGGATGGGGCCGATCCCATCCTCCCTCTTTCAAAGCAGACACTTTGCATGCATGCTTACCAGAGCAGTACGCATCCACGTCCAATTTCTGAGCTGAAGTGAGTGTTGGGGAGCCAAGCTCGGATTCTGGAATTCGTGGGCTCTCAACAAACTTTGCCTTCCTCAGGGGGGCTGAGAGAGAAAGAGAGAGAGAGAAAGAGAAAGAGAAGAGAAAAAAAGAAGAGAGAGAAACAGGGAAAGAGAAGGGGAAAGGGAAAGAGAGAAACACAGAGGGGTCATGAGTAAGGGGAACAGCAGGCAACAGATGGAAGCACTTAAATGAACGACATACTCTGTCAGACTCAGATCAGGTTACCCTATTTTTTTTGTGCCAGAAAAAAAAAAATTAACTACATTCTTCATAGAAGAGATGGGTCTTGTGAAAAACTTGCTTAAAATAAGGAAGGCTAAAATCTAAAAAAAAATTCAAAACATAAATTGTGATTATCTATTACCTTTGGTTATATTCTCTCTTTATAAAGGAAAGAGCTCTCTTTAATGGCTTTCTGTGCCATTAAATACAAGCATTACTATGGAAAGTGAAGGACTAAGTTTTAAAGTTTTGTTTACAGAAACTGCAATCAAAGGTCTTCTTCATGTAGAAATACCTACTCTAATACTCAGTTGTGATAAATACCAAAAGCGGGATTAAATATAATCCATTAGGCCTAATCTACATAGTTTAACAAAGAAGTCAAACACTTTACTGATCAGACATCAATGTAAGAAGTGAAAACTAGTGGACTAAAATATTATCTAGGCCATGCTAATTTGACACTGAGGTGAAGAGTTACAAATTTAATCACAAAGTCTATGGTCTTCCATTCATTCATTATCATATAGAAGATAGCTGTATGGTTATAGTGTAATTTGTAAATTAAACATTTTACTTACTGAAAGCACATATCAATTTTATTTACTGATTTTAGGGGAAAATAAAAAGCATTTTGAGATACACTTAAATAATTAAATATTTTAAAAGTTAAAATTATGGAGACTGCTTTGGTACTTCCAAACCAAGTTTTATTAAATAAACTTTAAGGATAAAGTGCTTAGGATAGCACTAGCACACAAATATCAGTTAGATCTGAAATTCATGTGTATATATTCTATATCAGTGTCATAACTGTAGGTGCCTAAGACATGTGAGTGTTTAAGATCACATTACTTTTTTTAAAAAGTTTCTGCATGTTTTCCCAAATCCTCATCCATTACTGATTCACAAGGGATTCTAAGTTATTGCTAAAGGACACTATAAAAGGTATTATAAAACTTTGCCATTACAATGGCCATAATTGTTTTTTGAGGATAAAAGTGGGAACATACTAAAATTATAGAAAAAATAGAAAAAATTTAAATGTGCCAATACTCAAAACCTATAGGTAACTAAACCACAATTTAAACTTCAGGATGTATACATATAATTTAACTGTATGCTTTAAAAACAAAAATACAGATGGGGGGATGGAAATGGGATTTTAAAAAAGGAATTGTGATGTGTTACATACATGTATTGAGTCCCTATGAGGAATGTGATCATTATATACTATAGACATGTACAAAAGAAGGAGGCAGAGGAGGAGGACAAGGAGGAGGAGGAAAAACAAAACAAAACAAAAAACAGGAGAAGGGGTCTAAGATATGGAGGGAGGGTGAAGGAAAAGAAGGAAAGAGGGGAAAAAAGCCTGTTACTGTTCTTAGCAACAAAGCCCTAAAACTAAGGGTACTTACTCTCTTATCCAAAAGTAAGCCTAGGAATAGCAGAACTCTCACCTACCCTAAAAGCGTAATACTTAGGTTGTTTTTAAAAATCACTATCACAAATGAAGAGCTTAAGAGATTTATATACAGGCTACAAAGAGCCAATACTCAAATCTCTCATTGTATTTTCCACAACTGATTAAAACTAAAATTTTTTTTTACTCAATATCACCTAGTAAAGAAGAAATGATTATAATTTTGTTTTGAAAGCTCTTAAATCCATTACTAGATTTTTATCAAAGCAATGTCATGCTATAATCCCAGTACTCAGGAAACTGAGGCAGGAGGATCGCCATGAGTTTGAGGCCAGCCTGCCATACACAGTGAGATCAAGACGAGTTTGAACTGCGGAGAGAAACCCTGCCTATAAGAGACAAAGACAGTGCTGATCCCTGATCAAGCAGTAACACATATCTAAAAACTTTAATAGAAAGTTTAGCAATAAGATTTTGGGTTAATAGACAGGAATCAGCCACCTAGGGTAGAAATGTAAGAAAAATACTGAGGATGGTAGAACTTGACAAGAGGTTTGAGGACGTACAAGAATTCTGAGACAGTCAAGGGGAAAGGTCAGGGTCCTAGAGATCATGGACAGTTGAGGACTATGAAAAGAATGTAGACTACATGGTATTATTCAGAAGCTGAGTAGATCACAGGAAAGGAAAAAATAAAACCTCTTACTAAATATGTAATTTTTAGCAAAGAGTGTTATTTCAGATCTGTGAAGTTCAATGCCATACTGTTTTCCCTTCTCAGGGTATTCCAACTAAGGTTATTTTTATAGTTCACAGTGAGTATTTAATTCTTCTATTTATCCTCGTTTCTACCTCATCTATGAGGTACTCTGCGATTCTAATAATAAAGTTAAATTATCTTATAAGGTAGATGACAATGGTGCTCTTAAGTTATAGGTAATCTTATTTGTAAATCAATCAAACTGAGAGGTATAATCACAGATAAGACAGACTATCTGATAGTTATAATGGTGCACGGATGGTAGAGAACATAAAAAGGCAAGTTGGAAGGTGTAACACAATATTTTTGTTTGAAAGCCTAGAATTTTAGTAGATTTAACTGTAAAAATTGGTATAAAAGATAATTCAGATGGCTAAAAGAATTTTTAAATCAAAAGGGTTTGTCTGACAGAAAAAAAAAGTGGTTGAGTGAGATGGGTAAAAGAAAACTACAAATAAAAGCAGGTATTTTATTGTGATGTAACTGCTCTGAGAATGATCTGAATCAACACTAGGAACATGAATGTTAGGGTATAAGAGATTTGAGTTTGGGAATCTGGCAGAAGTTTAGAGGGCAAGCATAATGATTTGAAAGATCTAGGTCTTAACTCTAGCACTTACTAGTAATAAGAAACTAGGTAAGTTACATAGCCTAAGTAACTCAGTTTTCTCACAAAGTCAAAGAATTGTTATGAGGGGTAAATAATTCTAAGCATGTAAAATGTTAAACACAGTGCTTATAGTTCACTTATAAGTTTAAGACATGGAACAGTGAGGACTGTGGTTATGGGACATAAAGTAAGCAAGTGGTTTCAAGATATAATATGTAGAGGCGGTGTAACATGGCAGCATTGTAGTGTGGAATTAGTGCAGGAATTAAGGATTTGGGCTTCGGCACCAGAAAGTCTAAGTTGGAATCACATCTCTTTTACTTTTCTTGGGGCAAAGAACCTTTCTGTACCTAAGTTTTCTCATCAGTTATTTTGGATTAAATGGTCCCTACATCATGGATGAGCTATGAAATTCACATTAATTCATGTAAAATACTCTGTACATTTGCTAAAATGTACTGACTTTTCACTTGTAGATGCCTCCTGGGAAACTAAAAGCAAGACAGATGTTTGGTATCTCTGTCTTCATTTGGTATCAGTCTTCCTTATGACCTTAAAGGTTGGGTCAGATTCCTGCTCAACTTTGCCTGCAGACATGTTAATCATTTAACTAATGCAGTCTAAAGCTGGTAATCTTCCACTTTGAAGGTTGAAGGCATCAAGATTAAGAGCAACTAAGATATTTTCAAGACTCCAGAAGAGTCAACTTTGTAGGGGCAGATTACTCTATGACGGGATTATATACCCCTAACCAAGAGCAATTGCCCCACGATGGGAACCAAGTCTATCCCCTAAGCAGGATCAATCAATCACAGTCTCATGGAAACCAGATTGCCCCCTTGGGTAACAAGCAGGGCCTGCAGGATAAGACCTAAGATAATGATCCACTAGACCACGGTCTGACCCTGACTGCTAAACTATCCATACTTCATCCTCTTCATTCTTTCCTGCCCTTACTTAAGTCTGAAACTCTAGTCTAAAACAGGGCTGAGGATACTTGGATCCCTTGTCTTCTCAGTATAGCTATACTGAATAAATTCCTTTCCTGCTTTTTACTATTTTTTTTCCACTTGATTTTTGGCCAGACCTGGTTTGTTAGGACAGCCCTAGATCAGGTCCTCCCTTTCTAGCCTAAGACTCCAATAATATCATCACAGATTTAGTGTAATTTATAAAGGCTCAATTTTGAATGTGTGTTTTACAATAGAATGGAGAGCAAAACAGAGATTTCTAAAATGTCGGAAGATGATGAGAATTATGGTATTGAGATAGGTGATTAGGCCCTGGGGAATCCAGTTAAATTGGGTGGAATGTATCAAAGTCATGGAGACCCAGGGCACATGCATAGAACATAAGATTCAGATGACTTTCTAGCTCCTGAGCACTATACACAGATCAAACCAGAACAGTGCTATTTTCACTTCTTCATTTATAACTAGCTGGAACCCGAGTCTTTCTATGGAGTAGTTTAAATCTGGTCCTGGAAAACTGTCTAAATGCCTTATTTGCAAGAAGGAGAAGCCAATCCAGGAATTATGGATACAAAGGACCCCTCTCCTTTATCTTTGGGGCTGCTGTGGGGTCTCTTCACCACCCCCTCTCACTCTGCAGAATGTACTTCTTTTCTACCTTCAATAAATGTACACATCCAACACCTTTATGTTTTGTCCAAATGTTTGTTCAGGACCCCAAGAACCTGGGAAGAATTACCGCAACATTCACCGCCTGGTAACAGTGTCACTGATTTTTTTTTTAATTGATAAGGGTATAATGTTGAGGCAAATATATGTTATGCCTTAGAAAGTAGTAAAATATTAAAATCAAAATGATCTTAGCCAGGCAGAGTGGCACATCCCTTTAATACCAACACTGGGAGGCTGAGGCAGGAAGATTTCAAGTTAGAGCCCAGACTAGGCAATTTAGCAAGACTCTTGACTTCAAAACAACAAAAAAATTACTTCTGTAAAGGGCTGGGAATGTAGCTCAGTGTAAAGGCCCTGGATTCAAGTCCCAGTAGTAAGGAAGA